GGAACTCGCATTTTCCCACTGTGATCTCAGAACATAATATATTTCGCAGGTTCTATCATTTATAAGCATCGAACTGCTAATTGGTAGGTGCCCTTTGTATCCGATGGCCAGGTGCATGTCGGTTGCAGAATACAATGCACGTGACGATGATCGCCACAAAATGTGTTTTTTTTTTTCGAAATGGTTTTCTGCGAAGTAAATGATTAGCCGTAATCATGTATTCCTATCAGTTGTTACTATTTACTATTATTATTTATCATTATCGAATCACTATAATCTACTAGTCATCAGGTTGACTCGCAGGTCCTTGTCACTTGTGTTGTGGAGTCTGTAGTGCAGACTACCCTGGCTGCCGGATACATAGGGTATCTGAATTGCATAAGTATATATTCTCAATTTTTCCTTAACCTTTCAGGATGCAACCGCAACCGGAGATTACATCCAACATCGCGTTTTACATCTCCTTCATAGGTACTCACATATACCTTCATCTCTTGTGATAAACAAAGTGGATTTGGTCACTCGGCGAAGCGATTTGCTAGAGCTAGCTCGGATACTCACCAATGGACGTGTCGCCGGGAAGCCCGTACAGATTCACGAGAAAGCGGTATGATCAAGTCTAGTATAATAATGTTGGGTGTTCCTGGCGTTAGGCTACAGCGTAGTATCGCCTTGCAAGGAGATGGAATGGGACTCGCAGCTAGGCGGTCTTAAGCTGTAATCTTGCATACGGTTGCTCAAACCGCATCGTTACTAGTATGTTGGTTGGGACAGAAGCGACTTTTTCGCTTTTCGCAGCGTAGAAATTATTCGCTGCGGGAACCCCAGGTCCACCTCTGATCACAAATAGACCTGGGGTTCCCGAAGCGATAAACTAAGCGCCGCGAAAAGGGAACATGTCGCACCCGGTTTCCATCCAGGGTCAACCGTCACGTTGGACCACTTGCGAAAATTTTACGACCCCCTCCCCCTTCTAGAGGGCCTCGATACGACCCCCCTCAGGGTCAACCCTTCACCACCCTCGCCTCCATCGCCATCATGGGGCTCATTCTATTCCACAAACATCCTCTCACCTCTCACCTCCCCCTATTTCACCAACATTTCCTAGGG